GTTGGTTGTTGTGAATCAGGGATGGCAGAGCGAAGCCACTGATGGACTGAAAGGTGCTTGATTTCTCTCACTCTTTCTATCTCTTTCTCTGACTATCTACCTACCTACCTATCTATTTTCTATGTATCTATCTATCTATCGATCTATCTATCTATCTATCTCTCTCTCTCTCTCTTTCATTTAATTACCCTATCTATCTATCTATCTATCCATCTATCTATCTATCTATCTATGTATCTATCTATCTATCTATCTATCTCTCTTTCATCTGTCTATCTGTCTAGCTGTCTACCTGTCTATCTATCTATCTATCTAACTATCTATCTATCTATCTATCTATCTGTCTATCTGTCTATCTGTCTATCTGTGGTGCAGTGTCATTCAGTGTATTGTAGTGTAGTGTAATGTAGTGTAGTGTAGTGGAGTGTAGTGGAATGTAGTGTAGTGTAGTGTAATGTAGTGTAGTGTAGTGTAGTGTAATTTCGTGTAGTGGAGTGTAGTTGTGTAGTCGTAGTTGTAGTTGTAGTGTAGTGTAGTGGAGTGTAGTGTAGTGTAAGGTAATGAAGTGTAGTGGAAGGTAGTGTAGTGTAATGTGGTGTAGTGTAGTGGAGTGTAGTGGAGTGTAGTGTAGGGTAATGTAGTGTAGTGTAGTGTAATTTAGTGTAGTGGAGTGTAGTGGAGTGTAGTTGTGTAGTTGTAGTTGTAGTGTTGTGGAGCGTAGTGTAGTGTAATGTAGTGTAGTGGAGTGTGGTGTAATTTAATGTCGTGTAGTCTAGTGGAGCGTAGTGTAGTGTAATGTAGTGTAGTGAAATTGAATGTAGTGGAGTGTAGTGGAGTGTAGTCTAGTTGTGTAGTTGTAGTTGTAGTGTTGTGGAATGTAGTGTAGGTTAATGTCGTGTAGTATAGTGGAGTGTGGTGTAATGTAACGTAGTGTAGTGTAGTGAAGCGAAGCGGCGAAGCGACATGTGAACCTCCAAAAGTGGTCCGAACCCCTGGTGTTTTTAACGTTTTGACTTCGAAATGTGCTTCGCGCCACAATGGCGTGCACTTTTTCGACATCTGAACCTCCAAAAGTGGCGCGGACATGTAGTGTGTTATACATTTTCACTTCGAAATGTGCTTCGCGCCACAAAGGCGTGCACTTTTTCGACGTCTCAATTTCCAAAAGTGGTCCGAACCTGGTGTGTTTTGTACATTTTGACTTCGAAATGTGCTTCGTGCCACAACGGCGTGCACTTTTTCGACATCTCAACTTCCAAAAGTGGTCCGAAGCTGGTGTGTTTTGTACATTTTGACTTGCAAATGTGCTTCGCGCCACAACGGCGTGCAATTTTTCATCTCTCATCTGGCCAGCTGGCTCCGCACCCGCCGCTTTAGCGAGCCTACTTTTCGACCCTCCCACCTTTTCGCGCATCTGCATCTTCCGTCTTCTTACTCTTTCTCTTCTACTCTTCTTTCTTCTAATCTTTCTCTCCTCTTTGCCTCTTCCCTGCTCTGCTTTTCATCTCTCCATATTGTCGGAAGTTTGACTTCTAAACTTCCTTCGATGATTATGTTTTCTATTTCATATTCCAATTTCTCCTGCGTTATATATATATATATACACCACAAGTATACGCTCTATCCATCCGTTTTATGTTGCCACCTGTACCATTCCGATGCTCTCCGGATATCGAGGATGGAAACCAATTCCATGTCCCTTTTCAGATTCCCAAATCAATGCTCCAAAATATTCCAAGTATTTTTTCTTGGAGATTCATGATTGCTTCGCAAAGTCGTTTTTTTTTGGAAACTGCGCTCCTTGGATACCTTGGATCAAGGGATCCGGAGATAATCAAACATTCAACATTCAATCAAGCATTCAACAGTTGAAACTGCGTGGTGGTTCTATTGTGGTTTCAATATCGTTCAGCATGGGTCCCAGATTTCCCGCTCGACGTTTTGGGTCGTTAATAGTAAACATCGCCCAAACTTTTTGTTCCACGCATGCTCAATACAGATACCCAGTTGCAGTTTGGCACCATTTTCTGGTATCCAAGTGCTAATAGTTCAAAATTGGGTACCCCAAAAATTGGAAGGTTCATATCAAACATATACTGTACTAAAACCCGTGGTTTCAGGGGGCTTAATCTTTGACCCACCCCCAATTGTTCGGCGGTGCCATGGCTTTGGGTTCTTCGGCAATTTTTTTTAAATCTTGGGTCAAAATACATAACAGTGGACATCTTGAATGTTTTCGATCAATCCGAACAATGTGATTTATTCAAATCTATATTTTGCATGTGAATTAAGGATGGGTTTCAATTTGGCAAATTTCGACTGACAACGACATGACAACATGAGAACCTGGATCATTCCAATTTAAACTCAAACCTGGAGAGCAAACAGACACCAGACAATATGCTGACACCTTCTTCACTTGACAATTTCCGCGCACAGCGTCATAGATCCACGCAAGCGTGGTTTGATGATGAGCAATGCCGCGGGTGCGCAGGGGTCGTGTGAACTTGCGAAGTGGCGGTGGTTGAAAGTGCAAATACCAATTTGCCACCCATACAAATCGGATTTGTTCATGCCATTTTTCAGTTCTTGGTGTGTTACATTTACTGTAATATCATTCAACATTTACAAGACAACTTTTTAGGTACTACCTTTGAAAGTGTTGGTAGCATTTCAATGTGGTTGTACTGCAGTTGGTGGGCAAAATGCATTAGACGATAGCAGATGAACATCCTGATGTGATCCACTTTGTTTGGATGCTCGCCGGGCTACGGTTCTCACTAACATCCGTACGCCGTATGACCCCAAGATCCGCCGCAGATTGTCGCAGCCGAAGCGCCTCTTCAAGACGCACGAGGCGTGTCCTGGGGCCGGAGATTATTTTTTTTGGATACGGGGAACCATGGGTAAGTTTCAACTCACTTGGCATTCAAGATTACTTTGTACAGCGGCAAATACTTCAAATTCTATAGTTCCATAATGTTCCATAGTTGATTTGAGGGGCTTATGTGAGAATTTCTTTGCAGGTACGGACACACTTCATGGTATCATGCCTCAGTTGGCCACGCAGCGTCATGGGCAGTGGTTCAATCTGATGGAAGCACAGCCTTAATCCCCCTGTTGAAGGTTCTCTGAAGCATCGCAACAGATCGCAATTCAGTGGTTTGCTTATGAACTTTATGAACTGTGGGATGTTTTTGCGAGACACTTCATGGAATTAAACCATTCAGTAAAGTGAAATGAGCAAGGGTCAAAAGACGCTCTGAAAGGCTTCAATTACGATCCGCCATCACTACTCAAAATATGTGATTTACTGTGTGTAGCGATAGGGGGCCTTATGTAGCGATACCTCTTTTTAGACTTTGTTTATGATTGAACCTTCCTGTTGGGCGCATGACTTTCCAATCTTTTGATGTCAGAGTGCGACACTGGAGCAGTCGCAGTGGGCTGGTCTTCCTGGGTAGTTGCAAGATGGCCTGTCGTCAAGTATATATGAGATAGTTACATTAAACAATATTGATATATTGGGGTATGTTGATCTATAAGGTATGCAAGAAACTAATTCATAACGCATCATGAGCTTGATGATGGTGATGATGCTGATGATGATGGTGATGGTGATGATGTTGATTCAGATAGTGACCGTGCTGAGATATGTTGAAAAAGCATCCTTGTGCGGTCACGGACGCTTCTCCAAAGCCACTGTCCAGGAGTAGAATTGCAACATGGAGCTTGTCAGAATTTCGTGTCACTTGAAACACACACCTGAGATCACACATTTTCTGGTCCCCGTAGCGATGCCCGAAGCGATACCCCTCGATACCCAGAGCGATACCTGAAATCCATGAAATTAGGGAGTACCCCACATGGTCACTTGAAACTATACAACTTGTGCTATAGGTGGAAAAATATGGGAAGTATGAACAAGGGTACCCTCAAGTTCTTACTGGGTTAGTTCTTAAAGGGTTCATTTGGTCAGGGTTTTGCCGATTCATTTTGGCGTGGTATTAGGTTGCAAAGGAGGCGGGGTGAAGAAAAAAAGGCGCCGGAAACAAGGCAGCACAAGCAAGACAAGCCAAGACAAGCCAACACAAGCCAAGGGCAGCCTCCGAGGTCAGATGACCTGCAGTGAGTCCGGCTGGTGTCTAGCTGAAGCTGTCGACGTCAGCCTTGGTGATCAAGTAAAAGTTTGAATTTCCCTGGAGATACCATCGCAAGGGGAATATCCGATTCCTCATCTGGATCCTCCTCTTCTAGCAGCAATTCTGCCTAGTTGGTGAAAAGGGTGCTGGGACTGTGTGTAGCGATAGGGGGCCTTATGAAGCGATGCCATGACCTCACCACATGAATTGAGTTTTGACCGTCGCACAAATGGGTATGGATCAATACCTATTAATACCATTTTTAGTGGGATGAACGTCCATAAAAACCAGCTATTTTGAGGTTCACTAGGTACCAGGGTTTTGACCCATCCCCAAATAGATGATTTTTTAAAAAACATAGATTTATACTTTGGCCGAGGCAAACTTCGTGGGGAGATGTGGCCCTTCCAGTTGCGATGACAAAATCATCCTTTTCGTAGACATGGTTCTTGGTATTTAGCCTGTGGTAATGACTAACATAGCTAACTGGAAAATCACTATTTTTTATGGGAAAATCCACTATGTCTATGGCCATTTTCAATAGCTATGTAACAAATTACTAGAGGGTAGCTGTTGTCAGAATGCTGCGGCGCATGCCAATGAACCAATGGATGCCTCATCACGCTGTTTCACAGGGAATGCCGGCTGGTGCTTTCAGGGTCAGTTTTTCATGATCCATGATGATCCATCCCAAGAAATGGAGTCCTGATGGTTTTACCCTCTGGTAAACTAACATAGCTATTGAAAATGGCCCATTTATAGTTGATTTACCCATAAAAAATGGTGATTTTCAATAGCTATGTTAAATTACCAGTGGGTAATGACAATCAGAATCTGCTTGTTCGGATCCGCCGACAGGTCAACGTGGTAAACGTGGGGGGCTCGCAGTGTTGGAGTTGCGGAAAAGGCGGGCCCGAAAGGATTGGTAAACCGTACATCCACTGGATGATCATCATTTTCCCGATTAAAATAACCATGGATATTGTAGCCATCTTCAGACCCATTTGTAGCCAAAGAGAAGTGGAATCTGTGAGTTTTTTTTTGACATTTAAGTCTCCAACGCGGCATTTGGGATAGTTAACTAAGCAATTGGTGGACCCTGGTTTCAAATACTGTTTACCCTCTGGTAAACGTTTACATAACTATGGAAAATCACCATGCTATGAATAGGGAAATTAACTATGTCCATGGCCATTTTCAATAGCTATGTAACAAAATACCAGAGGGTATTTATAAACATCATTTTCAAGACTTTTTATCTGGGTCTCGTTTATGTCAGCATGAAGATGGCCAAAATGAGAGATGTGGCACACGTTTTGTCCATGTTCGTTTTCGCTTTGGGGGAGCATCGGTTTTCGGTTTTGGTCATGTTTGTAATCATTTATATATATAATATATATATATGTACAAATGTTTGGATATATTGTAGGTATCTGGGGCCAACAGATTGTCTTCATTTCTAACAAACTACATATCATTCGGGGTAGCCACTCTTGACCCGTACCCATGTGAGAAGCCAGTGATCGCGGGATCAAAGAATGAAACTTTCAGATTCGTCGTCAGATCATTGGGACTTCCCACCGGAGATTTGGGCTTGGAGATTGTTCATTTTTGTACGATTTATTGAGACCTTGTGGGTAAAAACATCCACTTCCTGAGACTTATCCTCTGCAAGAAATGGCCCTTGAAGTTCCTAGGTTTTCTAAATCACTTCCCGCTGGTCACAAGGATTTTGATGGCAGGTTGAAAGCCTTGGGCCTTAAGACGACTGGCTCGAAGGCTGAATTAGAAGCCCGCTATGAGGCCAGCACTGGCGATGGGCTCCATCGTTCATTTGGCCCTTCTCTTTATGAAGGTTCAGGTTATAAAGATCACACTTTATTGAGGTTACTTATCAGATATATACTTGATTATAATTGGGGGTATTTGCGAGTTATTTATCAGCCCGCTGGGAGTTGTTTATAAGTTACTTTGGTGTTATTTATCAGTTGATTGGGGATGATTTGTCCGTTTATTGGGGATATTTGGGGGTTGTACAAAATCGTGGCTTTCACCCGTTTTGCACTTTGAAGCAACCTACGATTTTCAGCAGAAAAGACTCCCCCAAAAATCCCAAAAATTTGGGCCAGAAATTGGAGCAAACACATGATAAATAACTCCTCGTAACTGACAAATATTCCCGGTAACTGATACATCATTTCCCCCCAAAATAACCAATAAATAAGTCATTATGCTGGTGACCTTAACTATATACTGATCAGTGATTTTGGAGGAAATGTACCATTTATTTATCAGTTCCTGGGATGCCAAAATTGTACCATTTTGGGTCTGTTTTGGGTCCCCCCAACTCCAAAATTCTGCAAAAGATCTTCCAAATTTCCGGCAACAAAATCAGGGCCGGCATGAACAAATTCCAAAGCATCACGTTCTATCACATGTGGGGAAAATCGCCAAAAAGTTGATTGTAACTTGTAGTGCGAGCATTATCTTACCATAACATTCATGGACATCAACACCAACATCCATGGGCAATTTTTTAACACGCACGATACATGGTCAAACATGACCCCCAAAATAACTGAAACATGGGCCCCATGGGCATAAAATAATGCCACAACATTGGGATAAATAATCATCAAGTAGCTGATAAATAATCCCCAGAATTATGTGGTTTCTATAATTTCCCCAAATAAGTGATAAATAACCCCCAATTAACTTATAATCAACTCCATTGATAAACAACTCTAAAGAGAACCTGTTGCAGCCTATACCGGTAGGCTGTAGCAATCCCGACCATTAGGTTACGAACACGGCTGGAAACCAAGCACCCACGAGGCCTATAAAATCAATGTGCTGCTAAAGCCAAATTCACTTTTCAAGCACTACCAGTATGAAACGGTGGACCTTCAAAGCCTCACGGTCGAATCTCACTGATGGACATGAAAAATGAGGTTGCCGCAAAATGCCATTGATGACTTGGGTGGAATGCCAGGATGATGTTCTTGGGGCACCTAAGAAAACCTCCATTTTTGTAGAAATTGAGGGTCCATTTTACAGTACAGTACTTACTAGTTCCGACAAGACAGCACCCGCGTCCACAAGCTTCACAAGTAAAAATCCACCCCGGCAGAAAAATCGGGACAAACTCTACGCCACTTTTTTCATGCCAGGTATTTACAATTAACATATGTGTATAAATAATTGTGTAATATATGTGCGTGTAATATATGAATGTAATATGTGTAAACTATTTGTATATTTTAATATTGTGTTTAATATAGATGTAAACATTGATACTGTATGTATGATATATGTGTAAATATGTGTGTATATTATGTGTATTATATTTGTGTATAGTATGTGTATGATATATGTGTATAGTATATGTGTGTAATTTATGTGTATAGAATATGTGTCTAATATGTGTATATGATATATATATATCATATATATACACGTCCAATATATGTGTATGATATATGTGTCTATCAAAGGAAGTTGGCAAGCAATCTTCCGAGTTACGGACGAATAGAATTGTGAGACTCTGCAGTACAAATACATCACAAAACAATACATCACAGAACATGACGAAGGGTGGTGAAGTGGTGATGACGCAGGGAAGTGGTGAAGTGGTGATGACGAAGGGTGGTGGCTGAGGGAAGTGGTGCCTAAGGGAAGTGGTTGACTGAGGGAAGTGATGCTGCAAAATGCATTGTAATAGCTGCATGAATGTTACATGGGACTTGTCAAGGAAGCTGGGGCACGAAACCTTGTGTTTTTTCGGGTAAAGTAGCTGCAGCCGGCGATGAAGGGCAGCCCGTGTGTGACGCGGGTGCGGGCCGTTCGTGTTTTTTGTTCCCGCACTGTAATGGTGGGTTGAAGCTGCTTTGGATGCGTTTGCTTGTGCGTAGTTCTAGGGTGTTTTGGAATCTGTGGTTGCAGATCGCAGTGGAATGGCTGCATGATTGTAGTCACGTTCTGTTGCCATGTGCGATGGATGTTGCATGGGGTTTGCTTTGGGGAGGAAGCCAGGGCACGAAACCTTGAGTTTTTTCGGGTAAAGCGGCTGCAGCCGGTGATGAAGGGCAGCTCGTGTGTGACGCGGGTGCGGGCCTTTTGGTGTTTTTGTTCCCGCACTGTAACCTTTGGATGCGTTTGTGTGTGCGTAGTTATAAGGTGTTTTGGAAGCTGCGCGTGCAGATCGCAGTGGAATGGCTGCATGATTGTTGTCACGTCTTGTTGCCATGTCTCTCGAGACATGCGGGTTAGGCACGTGATGCTGCAAAATGCAGTGTAATGGCTGCATCAAGGTTCCTCGCTGCTGCGGCTCTTTGCGTAATATTTTTGTCTTTTGCAGCTGAGAGCCGTGAATCGTATTGGAGTGGCTGCATCAAGGTTGCGATAGAGATCTGTCAGCAGATTTTCTCAATTTGGCGCTGGCGATGTTCCTTTCAAAATTCCTTTGAAGTGTGGAGTTTCAAGTGCGACCTTTGGAACAGTGCAACGCTGTCGCACAAAGCACGCACCCACGGGTCTGGTTGGCGCACGGCGCATGCAAGTTCTATAGATAGATGAAAAAGGTCTTAGAGTCTAACCCTAAGGCAACTTCCGCCCCGCGTCGTGCGGGTACTACTGGTATATATATATATGTGTGTGTGTATGATATGTGTACAATGTATATGTATAGTGTATGTGTCTTATAACATGCATATATGGTGCTATGGTGCAGTCATATAAGAACATCATCACCAGACGGAGCATGATTTTGGGGTCGCATCAGGGCGCAAAGAGAAACTTGGATGAGGCACAGGATGCCGCACAGGATGGCGCAAGGGCATGGCATAGAAGGTTAGTTCGCAGAAAATGGAGATTCAATGGGATTTAAAGGTTATTTTAACCAATCGAAATGGTGATCTAGATGATCTAATGAACTGATTTAATGCTTAACCAAAACCACGGGGTGATTTCGTTGAGATATTGTGGATTTGACCAACAAAACTCTGGGATTTATTCGATAAAAATGTCTCACGGATGGGTTTGTTCGATGATCTTGGCCGGTGGGCCTGCACCAGATATCTGCGACACTTGGGGGGCGAACATGATTTTAGTTTCCCGATGTTTCACCAACAGATTCCCCATTCAGAATCATTCAGATAGGTCTACCTATCTCCAGCAAATTATGGGCCAGCCAAGAGTCGATGATGAACCGGACCAGCAATGATAGGTGTTTCAAAAAAGGGGAACCCTAAAGTTAAGCAACATGAGTGGTTTGTCAATGGGGCAACCCATAGTGGAAAGGGGCAATCCGTTTCCAGTTTTCGACATTTGAACATATCTCATAGTGGTACCCCCAAATCATCCACTTTAGATAGACGTTTCCATTATAAATCATTTATTTCTGGGGACGTCCCGTTTTTAGGAAACCTTCATATTTTCGATGTTGCAGGGATCCAAATGCTGCAAGGGTACTCTGATATCGCTATGGTGGACCTGGGCAAACCAAGTCGCAGTCCACCATGCAGGACCCAAGAGAGTCGCCGGCCAAGAAGCCAAAGGCCTGGAAAAAAACTGGCGATTTGGGAAGTGAAGATAGGGAGATTGACCTGCATGATGTTGCGATTTTGATCTGGAACATGGAAAATAAATGATCAACATTGATCAACATGGATCAACATTGATCAACATTGATCAACATTGAAGTGGGGATGGAACAAAAACAGCATGATGGAACATTTCTCGATACGGATGTACCGAACTTTGGTTGGCATCGCAGTGGTAGCTATGTGGTAAGAACCAGCAGGTCGGTGCAGACCGATGGGAGCACTTAACCAGCCCCCACGTTCTCCACGGGGTGGCAAAGGGATGGATTTCTGTTGGACTCACGTTAGCTGGAACTTCAAAGAACTCTTTTGATCAGGCCAAACAACTTTTATAGTGTTTTGATGTGTTTTGATACCGTATGTTTTCATGAAAACGAAGCATGCCAGTTTTATTTGCGACATTTTGCGACTGATATGCAAAGGGTAAGTAGATACCATTTACGCTTCACTTTCAAACTCACTGAAATTAGATGTTGGGGGGACCACAACCCTACGTGTAAATGGTTATCGGCTTCGTGTAGGTTGTTGGATTTGTTGGTCAGCAGTATTGAGCCTCATTCTTTCTGGCTGAAGATTTTAAGAGGACTGCGTTTGAAGTTTTGCGAAGGGAAAGGCACAGTCTGGGGGCCGGAAATGCCTTTTTGGGGGCTAAGTCAAGGTTCAGTGAGACAAGAACATAATTGTGTCACTTGCATACGTTTTGATTCTCAGACATATCTCATTGATATGTATTCGAGCACGCCTGAAGGTACAGACACTCCTTGTTGAACCTTCCATCATTATCAACCATTTTATATCAGGTCCTGCTGTGATAGTTCCTACTAATTAAGACTTCCACTTCCAAGAGTTTTTGGATGTCTTAAACCCCAAAAATGGTGGGACTATTGTTGGGTTTTACCACATTTTATGGGTAGCACTCATAAATCACTTGTCTCTGGAAGAAGCGCCGGTGTCGACTCATGCAGTCGGTTCAGAGGTCAGTTCTCCAAAACGGAGTTCGCCAAAGCCACAATCTCCGAGCGTGTCTCCGAAGCTGATTTTTGTGCTTTAGCGTGTCAATTTTGTGTTTTCTCCCCCTTTTGATCCTTTTTCGGAGTGTAAGTTCTCCTTGACATTTTTGATTGTAGGGAATCTGTTTGGGACCAAGATTTTTGGTTCTTTTTTTGGCCGGCTGTTTCCAATACATTTTTCATGGGAAATGGATGGAAATGGCAGCCGTTATTACTGGAAGCTCTTTGTGGTATCAGTTTGTCATCCGAGGAAAGTTTCTCCGAAAGCCTCTCCAAAGAACTCTCCCGAGTCGGACAATGAACTCGACAAATTGCCCATGGCCCCAGTGGATCCCAAGGGGTGGCCGAGGAAAATTGATTCTTGAAGCTTACCCTCTGGTAAACGTTTACATAACTATGGAAAATCACCATTTTCGATGGGAAAATATGGAAAATCCACTATAAATGGCCATTTTCAATAGCTATTTTGACATAACCAGAGGGTACTGTCTGTTTTTGTACCTCATTTTCTGACGAATTCCTTCGAGTTGGGTGACCGGTGACCATAGAGTGCAGGAATTCTCGCAGCTTTTATTTTCACCTGTATGCCCAAGACCCCTGTCGCAAATTCGGCCTGAATGCTTATGGAGTCATGTTTTATGTAGTTTAATTATATATACATACATACATACACATATTCCTAGTCACCCATCCTCATTGCGTATATTATCTTGACTGGTAGGCTTGATATAATGTCAACCCCGGATTAATACAGCATGGTTTATTAATTGTGGGGACACCTTCCAAATAGTGATAATCTGATACTTCAATGTCCCCCCCAAACAGCTCAGGGATTTATGAATCCAGGGTTGACATAAAAACCCACCATTGGTGAATGGGCCCAAAAAAATTTTGTTGTCTGCCAGAGGATAGGGGAGGACTTTGAAGCCGAGTTGGAGGCACATTTCGAAAGTTCCTTGTCTTGGAGGGCAGTCGAACTAGAACTTTAGAACCAGAGAATCGGACTGGCTTTGTTTGAAAATAGGGAATACCCAACTGATTGGTGGTTTGGAACATTTTTTATTTTTCCATTCAGTTGGGAATAATCATCCCAACTGACTTTCATATTTTTCAGAGGGGTTGAAACCACCAAGCAGCCAATATATGGCTATCTTAATGGGAACATGATCGTTGGGCATCAACTTTTGGGATACCCTATGTTTAGATTAGACAAACCCATATGTGGATAAGATATGCAATTAGTCATTAGTCAATGCCCTGGGGGTTGGACTTACATAGATACACATCTTGTTTGGTAAACGTTTACATAACTATGGACAATGTTCCGGAAACACGTGACTTGCTGCGCTGGTGAAACAAAAAGTTGGGTGACAAAAAAACATGGGAATGACCACCCAGTGCCATCAAGATAAGATAAGAACGAAAATCATAATCAACCATCAAATGTGGGGGGTTTTCGGTGAAAAAATCAAGCCAGTTGGCCAGTTTCTGCTGTTTTTTTTCACGTTCTGCTGTGCTTGGGGGCTTCATCGGACCGTTTTTGATCGAATCGGCACCAAGATTTGGAGAATTTGGAGCTGGAGAACGAAGAGGCCGATGGAATAGCTGGAGCTGGAGCTGGTAAAAAAAAACACGGGATGTACCATCTGGTTATGACTAACATAGCCATGGAAAATGACCCATAGAAATAGATGGTTTACCTATTAAAAATGGTGATTTTCCATGGCTATTTTAAAACACGGGATGTAAACATGAAAACTCGTGGATTAATGGGAAAACAACCAACAAACATGGTGATTTTAATGGGATTTGTATATGTAATGTGGGTAAAACACTGCCATAAACCACCCATGACTGGGAATATCTGGGAATGGTTTATACCCTATACCACCTATAAAAATGGTGATGACTGGGGGATGTTTTTTTTTTTAATCCGCATTATTCATGTGTTTAATTTGGTGATTTGGCAAACTTTTGGCGCATCCACCTGAGGCAATTTCCAACTTCACTCCACCTTTTTGTTGAGGATTCTTTTCTTGTGGTGGCTTTCATTTGCAACACCATATCTATCTGTCTATCTATATATATATATTTATGGGTATGGGTCAATACCTATTAATACCATTTTTAGTGGGATGAACATCCATTTACCAGCTATTTTGATGTTCACCAGGGGTACAAGGTTTTGACCCACTGCCATATATATCAACTATATCATATATCCTCACCAACCAACGTGGTGCGAAGCAAGTTCCACTAGAATTTTCAGATTTTCCGATCCGTTGCCCGCTCAAATTCGAGATTCGCCCAACATGTTTTTTTCGCGGTGCAGTGACATCAACATCGGCAGAAATGATTCTCAATTTGAAGGTTTCCAAAACACGGGGTATCCCAAAACAGATGGTTTAAAATGGAAAATCCTATGAAAATGGATGATTTAGGGGTACCCCCATGGATTGGAAACCCCCATTTGAATCTGTCCCTTCTTGTTTTGTGCTGGTGAAATGAGCTGCCGAAATCGGGATGTCAGACAGCTGCGCCGGTGGTCACAGAACGAGTTACGAAAAATCTCATAGCGTATCTATGCAGATCCACGTAAAACCATGTAGAACCCCTTGTTTTGTTTGGTAAACCAACAAATGTCCACCCAAGCACGTTTTGTTATTTCCGATGAATTTGCCTCGGGGTAAGCACACATTTTGGTGGCAGGCGGAGCTGGAGCGAGACATTGCGGAAGTGGAAGGCACGTTTTTCCAGGTGGTCCAAGGTGGCCATTCAATGTATTCCAGCAGAGTTCCGGGAGGCCTCAAGTAATCCAATTTGACTGTGAGGCGTTTAAATGATCGGATCACTTATACATATATAATATATAATCATATCCGGTTGGTGGTTTGGAACATGAATTTTATTTTTCCATATATTGGGAATAAGGTGAACAACGGACTAATATATTTTTTTCAGAGGGGTTGAAACCACCAACCATATATATATATACAAATACAATTACATATACTGTATTATGATTTTTATACCACTGAAGAGTTCATCCACTAAACAAAGAGAGGGTGTTTTCCCAACAACCACAAACATGTGTAAACAATGGTAACATGTTATACAATAATTAATCATTCCCCAACAACCATTTCCAAACTGTTTTCTTTGGAAAAATGTTCACCTTCACAGAGCGCAGGCATCGATGAAAACAAGGCGGAATGCTGCGGAAATTTCGCATGGTCCCCCAAAAATGTGGAAATTCCCTACAAAACCATGGTTTCGTTTAGGGGGTGTTGAATATGAAGGGGGAAGGGATTATTATTTTTTTCTTTGCGCAATCCTAACATGAATGTGGTCATGATTCCGTTTCCGGATTTATTGACTGGAGACATACACCATGGCACAGAAAATTTGTCTTGAGGCACCACAGAAAACTCTTCAATGGTCAATGTGGGTTTTAATCACCAGCAACGCGGGCAGGGTGAAGCTGGAAGATCCCCCAACCAGACTGGTTGATTTCCGTTGATGACAACAACTACGGGCAACTGCCAGATAAGAAAAAAATCAACACAGACGTGGTTTTGACAAATCAGCAAGGCCCATCAAAAATGGCTTTTGGGACGGCAAAAAAGTTGAATTTGGGAGATTTCCTGGTGATCATCCTTTAAAAAAAGTGTCTCGGTGATGACATGAGACTGACAAAGCCCACCGCATCTAAAATCGTCGGTTCCAAATAGTAATCAATGATTTTTCAGCTACCCAGTTCATCCTCTCCATTGATTTCTGATCACAATCAGTATGGCAGTATGGCTTGTCGGATAACTTGGGTAAGCCTTAACTCCAAGATTTGGTTCGGGAAAATCCCGGGCAGTGAATTCCCGTTGTGGGATGGGCAACAAGTATCAACTCCACCATGCCTAAGAAACCATGGAAATCTGGGATCACCAAAAAAAAAGGTTTCGATACTAAAAAAAATGTCTAATTTGGATGATTTGGGGGAAGCCTCCATATATATACATATATATATACATATATATATAAATAATATGTATGTATATATATACAGTATATGTATATATTAATATATATATATATCTTGATATCATATATATAGATATGTAATGATATGTATATGTTGATATGTTGTGGCATCTTCGTGTATACCCACATCCAGCTTGGCCATAGCTCATGTCATAGGGCCGCTACAGGAACCGGAGGACGAGATCCAGGACTTGCTGCCGGACCGCTACAGGAGGGAACATCGCTGTGGAAAAAGCTATGGAAAGCTGTGGAAAAGTTGGAGAAAAGCTATGGAAATATGGCAGTGTGTCAAAACCTTGTACCCCTGGTGAACATCAAAATAGCTGGTAAGTGGATGTTCATCCCCCTAAAAATGGTATGTATAGGTATTGATCCATAGCAATATGGGAAAACATATCACCAACTGGGAAGTTTCACCACTTTGAAGTAGAGAACATATCTTCAGATATGGGCCCAAAGCAACTTTAGTACGTAGCCGCTACTGTGAAAACACCAAGAAATATCCATGGGATTTTGAGCCGTCCCCATACCCCTCAAAATGGTCATTATAATTGTAGCTACCCTCTGGTTATTTGTTACAGTTCGCCATGGTCAAGCCATGGCCCCCCCCAAAAAATAGATGATTTTCCCAGCGAACGAAACCTCCATTTAGTTTCCATGGATTTTCCATGGCAAACTGTGAATGTCATAACCAGAGGGTACAACTTCTGGGGTTGGGAGGTAGCTGCTATGGTCGCGGTTCGGAGCTATGGCTATCAAAGTATGGGGGACCCGTTTTCTTCAGACACCCAATGAAAAAACATGTTTGTATGTGTAAACTATCCATGACACATGTGGGGATAGTAAAAAATCATAAATGATCGTTGGTGATGTTGGTTGATGAGGAAAACGCGAAAACGTTCCTCCGGCCTTCTCAAGGGCGACAAAACTCCCCCCTTCTCAGATTCGACCGCCAAGGATGAAGAAGTGATGTGGTGGTTTTAAACAGATGCTTAGTCTGTTGGAACAACATTACACATGAATTACTGTATATATAAATCCATACAAAAATGAATGGCACGGGTACACAGGCACATTTACTTGTATATACATACATATGCAGCGTGCAGATGTACACTGTACACCTCCAAAATGTTTTTGTTGAATGCGCATGTCTTGGCCAATAGCATTTTTTTTCTTTTTCAAATGCATCTGCAATACTCGAGTCCTTAGAAAAAAACCTCTTGACTCAACTGGTCGACCCTTGACTCGTCGCAGGTCAAGCTTAGACTCGCCGCATCAAGAGCTCATCAATCTGGTGATGAGTCCCTCGGTAGCACACTGTGAATCCACCAGTAGATGACCTAAAATAATATTGGGCCTGTGAATCTTGGGAAACGGAGCGAAACGGACTTTTATATTGGGAAACTAGCAATGTAAAACTTTAAATTTAGACACTAAAAGACATGAAAGAAATGTGTTTTGCAAACTGAAACTGATGAAACAGTTTTTTGAAATGGTTCAGAAACTAACTAAACCATGATTGCCTCCATCTCAGGTCTAGTTTTTTAAAGCCCCCTTCATTAATCCGTTGCGTAGACTCTCCATCAGCACCAGAAATGAAGCAATGTCAAGCATTTGAGGATGGAGACGTTTTTTTTGTTTCTTTCTTGAGTCTGGTTTCTTGGACCTTGCGGCTTTTCTGGCTTGGGGGCTCTTGATTTCTTCGCCCTTTGGGATTGTTTTGGCTCCTTGGCTTTTGCGGCTTCTTGGCTTTTGTAGCTTTTCTCAGCTTCTGCGGGTTGTGTAGGCTTACTATATGTACCTTATCTGCACCTCTGTTGAAACTACATAGTATCATATAGTATTGTATAGACTGTCGATAACTGTCATCAACATCGCATATAAGCTACACGTAAACTGTACGGAAACTACATTCAATTGCACAGAAACTACATTCAACTGCACAGAACCTACGTTTAACTGCACAGAAACTACGTTCAACTGCACAGAAACCACATGTAAGGTGGATTTTAACTAATTATATACATATCGAAACTGACCTTATATGCATGCTTTTGTGCAAGGAATTGACACCTGCTTTCAGCACGTGTCCTCACTATGTAGCCGTTTTTGAGTTATTAAATCCCTACTTTTCAAAGTCCATTTTTGTTTTTGTTTTTTTATCAAATCAACGTTTTTGTTTTCCGACTAAACGCATTTGGCCAATGAAGACACCAAAACGAGATCCTAAAAAAAAACCGTTTTTTCTGGGTCCATTGGTACTTCAATTTTGTTCGATGCCCCATGAAATAATATTATATATAGAGTATATATATGTGGGCTACCACCAAAAAGGTCTATGTAAGGGATATGTATTGGAATGGAATATAGCTCAAAACCTGCAAAAACGAAGGTGACCCTTTAAAACGAAGGCAAACCTTACAAGATAGATTTCCATTTGAGCAGCGAACGTTAAGAATGGTGTATCATGGAGTTATTGTCGTTTGGTCTTTACCTGTTTTCCCTTGTCTTCCTTTTGTTTCCTCTCTTGTTTTCATGCCTTTCCTGTGACAGTTTCTGTTGGCTTCCTTTCCGCCTTCGTTTCTTTCTGTTGATCCCGTTTGTTTTTTTCCTATCTTGTTTTTCCTCCTGCTGCATTTACATTTTGTCAAGTTTCTGCTTTCCGCCTGCAAGTATTCTTTTCATCCGGCGGTTTCGTTTTCCCATTTGGTTTTGCGTTCTGGAACGAAGGCAAAAATAGATATTCCATTTTGGGGCAATAGAGTTTTGGAGGTAGCTCAAATGTGTATATATATGTAGATATTTATAGTATATGTCATAATATGTGCATATCAAAAGCAAATATACTAATATGCATACATATATACATATATACATATGACCACAAGCTATCCAATGCCTGGCCTTTTGAATCTCAAGCTCTATGGTCGATAGTGTCCTAAGGGTCTTTCAGCTGGGTCTTGAAGGTGCTCATAACAACTGGTGGAGCCTGGGTTGTCCTGCTTACTGCATTCAGCCTCCCTTCTCCCTTCTTGCCTTGATTTTCCTCTGTGGATTTGTCACTGGCACCTGCGCCACCTTCTTTTCCCTTTGGACTCTTTGGACTTGGATTTCACCTGCTCCTGCTTCGCCCATTCCATCTCCTTCTGCGCCTTCTTCTCGGTACTCAGTTCTGGCTGAGTACGCGTATGAGCCAAAGCAAGCACGACGGAGAGCCTTTTGAAGTTCAGTGCTCTCTGGGGGATCTTCGTATCACCATTGCTGGGCCTCGTGATCAGGCCACTGCACTCCTGCTCAGGCTCACCGCGGAAAGAGCAGAGGAATCTGCGAGGTCACCAAGGACAGAGGGCTCTTTTGACTTGGTCTCTTCAGTGCCGACGGAGGTGCACAACACTGAGAGCCGCAGTGCTATTGCTTCGAGTTTTCAGCCTTGCCCTCGCCATCTACTGGCTCAATCTACGAGGTTGTCTGGGTCCTCAACATCCGGTGAAGATCGGATTCGCAGAGCCTGGACTGCCGGTCAGTGGGCAGGTGCGGTTCAAGCAGGGAGGATCCCTACACCAAACCGCTCTCAGCAGCTGGATCTCCGACCCAGGTACTACGCCATCATCAAGGCGCAAAACCTTGACACCTCAACCCTGTGCAAGAGTGCTGCGTCCTATTGGGGCATCATTGAGGACCTGGCGAAGTCCAACTCAATTTCCCATTCATTCCCATCAGAGATTGAGGCGCAAGTTTACTTTGCAGGAGCTGGAGTCATTGACTTTGAGATCCGTCAGTAAGAGCAATGGACTCTTTGGATGGTATTCTAGCTATGGAGTGTTTGACCCTGGCCACGGACGAATTGGTGCCCTATGTGCTCAGTTGGACCCTGGATTCAGGAAGCCGAGAACCCACCGAGACATCTGTGCTGGTGATTATGAGGCGAACGGGTGGTGTCCTGTTGGCCGTCCCAGCCAGTTTTCTTCCCATGGACATCGTCGAGCAGGGCAATGCTGGAAGTCCCACAAGTGTTTTTGGGCCTTCCGTGGAGTTCGAGGTCCCCGCAATGCTTGCAGATGGAGGGATTGTTTCACAGACTGGAGGCACAGTTTTGGTCAGGATCGTCGATTGCACGGAGGGGGTCATGCCACACCTTCGCGAATTCATGGAGGACGAAGAGGTCACCTTTGCCTTCGACGAGGATTCTCCTTTCGCTTTTCCCTCCATAGATGCTTTGGTTCCGCTGGTGAGGACTTGGGCTACAGCCACTTCAGAACAGCTGGCTGCGTTCTACTCCCCCGAGGAGCAAGAGGATCTTGCAGACCCAGATGCAACTCCGCCACAGCGAAGACCTCCTGCCAGAAGGGTTACGCCTTCAGGAAGTGGGCCAAAGGCAAAGCGGGTCACTACAGCCGCGTTGTCCACACAGCTGGAGGAAGTTTTGGGGATGCTGCCACAGATGTCCCAGCAGTTGACTTTGTTGAGTACAAGGCAACAGAGGTTGGAGGATCAGCTGCCCACTTTGGGCAAGAGCGCAGCAGTTGCAGTAGCTCAGCCTTTGGGAGCGGCACTGGACTTACCTCAGCTACCAGTATCCGCCCTTGCAAAGACCCTGCAGCCCCCCCCACGAACTGCAGCTCGTCAGAACCTTGGTTTGTTGGCATCCCCTGGACTCGGGAAACCATTGGAGTTAGAGGCATTGGAAGAAGAGAGAGCGGGCCCCGAACCCAGATCTGCCCAGATTTCCGGGGATGCTTTAGCCCAGGCTGTTTTAGCCCAATCACAGGCGCTGACGAGTTTGGTTGCCCAGATAGCACATGTTCAAGGCGATCCAATGGGCGAGTTGACAGCCTCATCAAGTGCGGGGGTGCGAGGAGCAACGGGCCGAGCAAAGCTTCAAGCAGAGCTGGCGCAACAGAAGGGGCTTTTCTTCCGTGCAGTCTTGCAGAGCATGTCACGCCGGATGTCTCCAACCAGCTCCTCAGATGCCTCTCCCCAAGAGCTCTTGAATCGTGGTGTTTCTGGAGTACGCTACTTGGAGAGATTCGGAGGATACGGGAGACAGCGGGAGCTAGGCCAGCTGCAGTTCCAGGTCATGACAGCCCTGGACTATATGATGGCAGGGCAAATGGATGCCGCGATGGACACAGTGGCTTTGCTGGCAGTGACAATAGAACAGGCATGTTTGGACGGTGGCAGAATGGACTTAGCCACTCTCCTATGTTTGCAAGAGGATGCACCGGCCTCAATCTTTGTCAACAGACAGATGATGAGCACCTCCCGCACCAGGGCTTTCGCGCCTTTAGCCGATCAACGATGGGTCACATGTGCTCTGGCGTTTCTCAAGGAATTGGAGGTCATCTCCAACAAGAGGGTGGAGCTTCTTGGGCAGAGCCGCAGTTCCGAGACTTCATCAGATCCTCCTGCAGCAAAACCAAAGCCAAAGGCGAAAGGCAACCCAAAGCGGAAGGGAGGGGGCAAGGGCTCTCAGGCTGTTGCGGAGGAGGTGGAGTCCTAGCAGACCATGAGCGCCCAACCAAAAACAAGTTGAGTCAGGGACCGGAGACAAGCCCTTTCACAGCTACAATCAGTTTTGACACGTGGGCACTTTGTATCCCGCGTTGGTTTCTGAGGTGCAGAACAAGTTTTGGCTGGCGCCTCAAAAGATCTTTCACTGCTTGCTGGCGTGGCCCATGTGCCTCGTCTACCGCATCTTTTCCTCTGCCGGTGCCCTACCCTGGTTGCTTTGATGGCAGTGGCCCTGGTCTTTCAAGACGGAGGTTGGCCGCGAAAGCTCGACAGAGGCTTTCGCATGTTGTGGTTTATTGTCTGAACTACATGTTCCTTGGCCGACATCCTACTCTTGCGGAGATCGGGAGGCAGCCTAATGCTTTGCAGCGCAGTTGTTTCCAGCGCTTGAGGCTGCTCATGGATGCGTGTGGAGTTCACCAGGAAGAGCACTCAATGATTCCTGGTCGCTCTGGACCTGAATTAGCTGCTATGCTGATGCAGATGGAAAATTTCATCAACGTGCACCCCGAGCTGGGACAAAGTTATGCCCAGCCACGACACATCAAGTTCAAGCCGGATCCTGCCGTAATTTCAGCTGAAGAGCACCCTGAACTTCAACCTTACAAGAACCTTTGCGTCGATAGGCTGAAGCTGGTTGGTGAGGGAAAGTGGAAGATGAGTGATTTTCTTTCAGGGCCACTTTGGCTCCCATTCCAAGAACCTCGTTTTCTTTTGCATGGTGAGGATGTTGATTTTGCGGCGGGCCCTTGCTTCAAGCAGGAGTCTCGCGATGAGAACCTCAAGTTGGCAAAGCTGTGGGACACAAAGGGCTTGTTGGAGCTTGCGGCCTCCCCCTTTCAGAATGGCATGTTTTCGCGTGTTTTCAATGCCCACAAGTCAGCGATGCACGACAGGCAGATAGGTGATCGACGTTTACCCAACATGATGGAAAGAGCCATTGATGGACCTTCCAAATATCTGCCTCCCGGGTTTTTGCTGACCAATCTCAGTGTGGCTCGCGGCTCACAGCAAATTTTTGGCAGTGTAACAGACAGGCGCGACTTCTACCACCAGACAGCGGTCACCTATGAACGCGCCTGTTCAAACATGTTGCCTTTCAAGTTCTCTGAGGATGAGCTAGCGGGTCTTCAGGCAATGCAGAAACACAAAGAAAGAGAGGAGACTGGACGCAAGAAGAAAAAGGATAGAGCCTTGCAGGGTGACGGGTTTGGGCTCCTTCCTGATGTCACCACTTCCTCTGCCGGGGATTGCCTACACCCTTGTTTTGCATCTCTTTTTCAAGGTGATCATTTGGGTGTTGAGTTTGCCTTACAGGGTCATGAGGATCTTTTGCAGCGGCACGGGCTTCTGATAGAAGAGCACCGACTGAGGGGGCACTCAGTTTTTCCCGTGACATCTCAGTGGGAGGGCCTCATCATTGATGACTATTTTGTGATTTGCAGAGACAGTTTTGGTGCAGACCCTCTCAATACCTTTGCAGGGAAAGCCCTGGGTTGGGCTCGAAAAGCCTATGAAACCTATGGTGTCATTGGCTCAGCCGAGAAGGATGTGGAGGCATCGATGCGTTTCAAGGCCGCTGGCGCAGAGATTGATTCCTCCGATGCTCTCGTGCGGAGAGGTTTGACAACAGTTGCAGCTCCAATATCAAAGAGACTGGCCCTATCCTGTCTCTCATTCAGGATTGCAGCCCTTCCAGCAGTGACGGCCAAGTTGCTTTCACGTTTGGCGGGAAACTGGACTTCTGTTTTGCTCTATAGAAGATGTATGACTGCAATTGTTGACACCCTCTTCAAGGAGGCGGCTGAAGCTGAGGCCTTGGGGGAGAATGCCACAGTTGCGCTTTCAAGGTCGACAGCCACTGAGCTCTGCATTCTCTCAGCATTGGTGCCTCTTGCGGTCACCAACATTGCCACGAGGTATTCAGAAAAGCTCTACACATCAGATGCATCGCTGGGAATGGGCGCTGTTGCCTCCACTCAGATCCCGGCGTCTTTGTCCGAGGTGCTCTGGCTGGGCAGTGACAAGCGAGGCTGCTACACCAGACTGGACAGTATGCCTGTTGCTCTGCTGGCCTCGGCAGGGGCCGAAACACATGAGTTTGAAGCTGAAAGCCCTACTGGAGTCGTGCATCCAAGAAAAGCGCCGCTCCTGTACTTTGACTTTGTTGAGTTCTACGGAGGATCTGGTAGGGTCTCTTCATGCATGCAACAGCTTGGACACTCAGTAGCTCCTCCTCTCGATCTCTCGGCCTCCAAGCACTTTGACTTTACGGATGCAAGGTTGATTGAGTGGTGCATGCACATGATCGAGCAAAAGAGGTTCAAGTCGTTCCTATCAGAGCCACCTTGCACGACTTTCTCTCCGGCAGCTCATCCAGCGGTCAGGTCATACCAGCAGCCCGAGGGTTTTGACCTTGACTGCCCAAAGACATGGCTGGGCAACCTTCTTGCGAACCGATCTTTTATTTTGCTGAGGCATGGCAGAAGACATGGTTCACCTTGTGGGAAAGAACAGCCTCACTTGAGCAAAATGGCTTGGCTGCCTGCCTGGATTCAGCTGCTCAACATGGACTTCTACGAAAGTGTCGTCGCCAGCTGCCAGTTTGGGTCGCCGCACAAAAAGCAGTTTCGGTTCATCACTTACCTTGTTGATAGTGAAAGCCTTGAAGTGCGTTGCCCTGGAGGTCATGACCATGTGCGAGTTGAGGGCGCATACACAAAAGAATCAGCCGTCTACGTTTGGGACCTTGCTATGCATTTGGCGAAGCATTTTTCGGTAGCCCTTGCTAGAGCGCAGCTGGCTGATGATGATGTGCTTCCGGCAATTGGCCATGAGAGTCTGGTCCTGAATGACCTCCTTGCTGCTTCACAATGGAAGATCGAAAAGAGCTGGTGGTGGAAGAGGAAGAGCCACATCAACGTGCTTGAGGGTCATGGCGGCCTAGCTGTCCTGGCTGACGCTGCTGTGACTTGCCCCGACAGCAGATTTTGCTGCCTGCTCGACTCACGAGCTGCAAAAGGAGCCCTGGTGAAAGGGAGAAGCTCTTCAGTCTCCTTGCAGAGGGTCTGCAAAAGATCCATGTCATTGCAGCTTGGATTTGGACTATACCCAGGTTGGGGTTTTGCTCCAACAAGACTGAATGTTGCAGATGACCCTACGAGGAGAGCCGCCTTACGCAAACCTGTGGCTCACTCCTTGTTGGACTTCCTTGACCCACGAAATGTTCAGGAAGTACACACAAACTGGGCAAGACTTGCGTTGTTGATGTTTTTCCTCCATGTTCAGGGTGCTGATGGCTTGGATTTGGATTTACGCCTCTCAGCCCCTGACCATTCACCTCATAACCAGACGCTCCTGCCCCAAAAGCTTTTCATGCGTTTTGAGCTTGGACTTGATGGACTTCCCTTTCTCTGTGGATTTTGCTCTGAATGCGATCTTCTGTTCCCATCTAGGCTCCACCAACTTTGCAGCTTTGCCTCAAGCCCCCTTGGACTTTTGCAGTGCTTGGTCAACTGTGGCTCGTCCCTGTCCTGTGTTTGTCAAACCATCCAGTCGCTGGCCTTTTGGATTTTACCTTGCATCTTGCTTCCCTGGCTTTGCGCAACTCTCGCTTCTGGATTTCTCTGTCCCTTAGAGCCCTTCAAGACTCGCTCCCGTCTCTGTGTTTGCGGTCGTAGGCCCCGGGTTAGTTGGATTTTGTTGGTCTGTCTTGGACTTCCGGGGGTCAATGCCATGGAACCGCTCTCAGCGGCGGAGAGAGCTAGAGCGTCGGCGAGAGGTGGGGCTACACTTGTGCCCACCAGGGTTGCGCGTCAGAAGACACTGGAAAGCAGGAAGGTTTTGCTGGATGATTTCAGAGTTTGGCTGTACACTCAACATGGCATAATGTTACAGCAGCTTCTGACAGCAAAGCCACCTGATGCTGAAGAAGTATCCAAATGGCTGGTTGCCTATGGGCAGGAAATGTTTGCTGCGGGAAAAGCATATGGGAAATATGCTGAGACAATCAACAGCATTGCAACAGCACGGCCAATTCTCAGAAAGAGTTTAGTTTCAGCCTGGGACCTAGCTTTTGCATGGTTGGCAGACGAACCCTACCAGCACCACCCTGCTTTGCCTTTGAGCGTTTTGCTTGCACTCATGTCAACTGCAATGATGTGGGGTTGGGCTTTGGAAGCAGCCATTTTTGGTTTAACCTGGGCAGGAATTTTGAGAATTGGCGAGGTCCTGATGGCTGACCGTGGTGACCTTGTGCTGCCAAGTGACAGTGCCCCAGGCACACGCTTTGCCTTGCTGCGTATAAAGTGCCCAAAAACGCGGGGTCGTGCGGCCCGCCATCAGGCGGCCCGCATCGACCCCCCGGATTTGGTGGAGTACTTAGCAGCAGTCTTTGACCAGTTCAAGGAGGACCAGAAGCTATGGCCGTTTTCGGCAGTGACCTTGCGGAAGCGCCTGAATGCACTTCTGACTTCAATTGGACTAGCCACTGAGCGCAAAAGCGGTGGCAAGCCTTTTGACCTGGGGAGCTTCAGACCTGGCGGAGCGACTTATCTTCTGCTGTTGACTGAAGACTCAGAAGTCGTACGAGGACGAGGGCGCTGGGTTACCAGCAAAGTCTGTGAGCTGTATCTTCAAGAGGTCCTATATACAACATACACCGAGAAACTGGCGGAGGGTCCACGCAGAAAGATTCAACAGCTTGCAGGAGCATTTCCACAGGTGCTTGAGAAGGCAATTTGCTTTCTCAGAGGAGGCATACCTACGAAGGTATGGTTCAAACTTTACCAGGCCAATGACCGTGAGGAGCTTGGAAAGGAACGGGAGACACGGGATCAAATTCCAGCTTTTGCCACACCATACCGTGGCGCTGGAGCAGGAAACCTTTGCACAGCAGTGAAAAAGGAGCGGCATGCAGGTTGCTTGACCACAAGCTATCCAATGCCTGGCCTTTTGAATCTCAAGCTCTCCCAACCCTGCACAAAAGACCCGCCCTGACACTTTGTCTTGGCCTGGTGGGATCAAATTCCAGCTTTTGCCACACCATACCGTGGCGCTGGAGCAGGAAACCTTTGCACAGCAGTGAAAAAGGAGCGGCATGCAGGTTGCTTATATATATACATACATGTATACACATCTTTATAATCCCGATTTCAGAAGAATTTTTGTTTTGAATTCCAAGCTCAAAAAGCCGTTACAGCCGTCTGGTCTGAATCGTCACATCGCCAGCAGCGATTTGAGGTTCCAAAACCTGGTGGTGGGCAGGATTGAGATCTTTGGTCCGGTGCCTGGCGCGGCATCGGTAGACAATCCAACAAAACTGATTGGTGGTTTCAAACATTTTTTATTTTCCATTTCATATATGGGATGCCATCCTTCCCACTGACGAACTCATATTTTTCAAGATGGGTTATTGCACCACCAACCAGAAAATGATGATAGTTCTAAGGGGATTTCAACAACAAGAAATGGGCAAACCAAGCATGCGTCACATGAACGGTTGGAAATACAACATGTTGCACAACCATGCGCAGGTTTCAGCATTTTTTTCATCCAAATGAAACCAGCAAATGCTGCAACTACTATGCAAGTGGAGTGTTCTACCTTTCAGGAAAGCATACAGGAGCAAATGCCTTTCTCCCCAAAACAAAAAATATATTTCCAGCCCGAAACCCACTCCACACTCTGCAATGGGGCAATCATTAGATCTCCAAATCACCTCAGATTTCGTGACCATGGAGGTGCCAAACATCGCCTTGCGCCAAGGTCAAGAACCTATTTGATTTGAAGCAGGCGGCGCAACATGGCGATTTGACGGTCAAATCATAACATGTATTGCCCAACATGACCAACATTGTTTGTCCATTGGTACATATTGGTACCATTTGTGTGTGATGGATTTGGGGGAGTAGCCTACTTTCAGACAAACCCGGATCATCAGTAATCAATGAACATTTGCCAAACAAACATAAGAAACATAGTTAAACAATGTAATAACAATGTTCTATAAGTGCTCAATACCCTCCAATCCGGACCTCGCGTATTATTGATGCACAATTGGAACATGCAAGGGGTTGGAAATCGCGGACATGCCAAGCGGCAATGTTCTGACTTGAACGCAATGTGTGCTGTAATCCAGTGCTGTACCATCATGTTTCCCATCAAAATCTCCATTTGTGGGTATACCACATTTTTAGAGGAAAAAATTGAAAACACCATATGGTTATTATTTAATGTTGGTTATATATGGCATATAATAAGAACGCCATAGACTATCCCTTCATTATCCCCTACTAGTACATATCATTGCACATTATCCCAGCGTCTCTCTCTCTCTTTCTCTCTCTCTCTATATATATATACACTATTATATATATATACTATATAATATATATATATATACTATATATATAATATATATATATATGATGTACATTTTCCAAGCAAACTCGCCGCCCCCACTTGCCACGGTTTTGGCCGCAAGACGGGCCACTGGATCAAACCCGCTCCACTCCGCGTCCGCTTTTTCTGCGACGGCGAGGGGGGGTCCGCGACGCAATGTGTGCCTGGCAATTAGGCGCCTGCCGTTGGGTCTCCACTTGGTTATGGGAAACCCCTTACACCCTGGGTATCCTATTTTTTTTTTCAAAATAGCTGCTGAATGGAAACGCACAAGTTGCACAGAAGCAAGTATAGTTCACTTAAGGAACCTTTAAAAGTACCGTAAGGCTCTTAGTAGTTTGTTAAGTATGTCATGGTTTTTTAGTGGATGGGGGAACATCCTGCACACCTTGCCAGGAAGTTCATTTGCGTGGAGGTTTTAATCCCTTCCTCCTAATACTAAACCCCCCCCCCCTAATACAAAACACGGCAGGTAGTTTTTAGTATTAGGGGGGTATTTATTATTAGGGAACCAAATCGAAGTCATGTTAATTAGTTATTCATGCATTAAAACCCTTAATACTAAAAACTATTTTTTCCGATCTCAAAATCAATTAAATTTCCTTATATAACGCAATTAAAATATTGCCAAAAATGGCAGTTCGAAGCTTACCCCTAATACTAAATTAAAACCCTTAATACTAAAAACTATTTTTTCCGATCTCAAAATCAATTAAATTTCCTTATATAACGCAATTAAAATATTGCCAAAAATGGCAGTTCGAAGCTTACCCCTAATACTAAATTAAAACCCTTAATACTAAAAACTATTTTTTCCGATCTCAAAATCAATTAAATTTCCTTATATAACGCAATTAAAATATTGCCAAAAATGGCAGTTCGAAGCTTACCCCTAATACTAAATAAAAACCCTTAATACTAAAAACTATTTTTTCCGATCTCAAAATCAATTAAATTTCCTTATATAACGCAATTAAAATATTGCCAAAAATGGCAGTTCGAAGCTTACCCCTAATACTAAATTAAAACCCTTAATACTAAAAACTATTTTTTCCGATCTCAAAATCAATTAAATTTCCTTATATAACGCAATTAAAATATTGCCAAAAATGGCAGTTCGAAGCTTACCCCTAATTGCTAGAGTAGCCAGGCAGCTTGGAGTGAGGGATTGGGACTAGGCCCCCCTAATACTAAACACCCCGGGGTGAACTAGTTTTTAGTATTAGGGGGGAGAACCCACAAATGGTAGGTTGATTTTAAAATTGTTTTTTAAAGGGGATCAATTAAAAGTCAAATTGGCCAAACTGAAATTTTCGGAAATTGGAGATGGATGCCTGTTTTTGGTATTAGGGGGACGTTTAGTATTAGGAGGAAGGGATTATTTTATTTTTTCTGTGCCTTTTGGGATGCTGATCCTAGTGGTGTTGACACCCCCAACCAGTGGATGCAAAAGAAGGGCAATGTTCCAAGCGGCTTTTGAACATCATTGGAGCTACACAAAACTTGGGGTATCAGTCGACCCGGATGCTCAAGGCTTAGCGATTTTCACCATTTTCAGGACAAACAATCCATGTTGGCAGTTCAAAAAGTTACCCTCTGGTTATTTCACATAGCCATGGAAAATGGCCCATTTATAGATGGTTTACCTACTAACTATTGTGATTTTCCATGGCTATGTTAGTTTACCGGAGGGTAATCCAAAGGAGGCCTATTTTTTTTTGGATTTTTTTTCTTTTACGTTTTTGGATTTTTTTTTGGGTTTCTTGTTTTATCTTGCTTTCTCCTTTTTTTTTTGCGTTTTTGCTTTTTTGCTTTTGTGCTTTTTTGTTTGTTTTTTTTTGCTTGTTTGCTTTTTTTGCTTTTTTGCTTTTTTGTGTTTTTGCTTTTTTTTGCTTTTTTTGCTTTTTTGCTTTTTTGCTTGTTTGCTTTTTTGCTTGTTTGCTTTTGTGCTTTTTTGCTTTTTGCTTTTTTTGATTTTTTGCGTTTTTGCTTTTTTGCTTTTTTGCTTGTTTGCTTTTTGTTTTTTTGCTTTTTGTTATTTTTGTCTTTTTTGCTTTTTTGCTTTTTGCTTGTTTGCTTTTGGCTTTTGGCTTGCTTTCCATGGCTTTTGGTGGTATTTTTAGTATGTCAAACTTGCACATTTTTCAATACACTAGTTTGAATCGACTATATTCATATATATATATTTATGTTTCAATTAAAATCATAATATATATATATATACATATATATATGTATATGTATATATATATGTATATATATGCATTTATATACACACTTGTATATTTATATCTAGATATATTTATATTATTTATATTTTCTACTTATATATATATATTTTATATATATTTACATATTATTACTATTTATGTTCAAATTCAATATATATATATATATATTTACATATATATATATTTATATATATATATACATATATATATTTACATATATATATATATATTTACATATATATTTACATATATATATATATATATTTACATATATATATATATATATATGTAAATATATTTATATATTTATATTTATGCATGTATATATACACTTAAATATATATTATATTGATATATTTATATTTACATATTCATATTGATATTTTATATATTTATATTTATATTTATATATTTATTTTTATATATTTATATTTACATATAAATATATATTTATGTACCTATATATATATACATTCATATGTATATACATATAAATCATATAAATGTATATATATATATAAAGAAGTATGTATCTATAAGTACATGTACTGTATTCCACATGTTTCCAGGGTGCATGTCGTGTAGTCTATACACCTTGAGTATCACATTCAACCCAGCACCTTGCATGTAAAATAGGTGTTTCCAATCTGCTTTGGCGGGGAGGCGCTGCGCCCTCCCCCCAATCCCCCCCCTCCCGCTTTTTTTAATTATTTAAATTCAAACTTGCACACTTTTCAATACACTTGTTTGATTCGACTATATTAATATTTTGTTAGAAATTATATATATATATATCTAGACATATATATATATATAGACACACGTATACATATATATATATGTATATGTATATGTATATATTTGCATTTATATATACACTTATATTTATATATATTAATGTACTTATATAAATGTATATATATATACATACATATTAATATGTATATACATATCACTGTATATATATATTTATAATTATATAACTATAAGTATATATATATATTATAAATACACATACATATTTACTTATAGATATACAGACGTATACATATATATATATATGACATATTTGTGGTTGTTTTTATACACAACTTGCATCCCAACATAAACAACAAATAATCATGTAATTATACCTAATTACATGTTGTATCCCTAAACCCTAAACCACACCCTGCATATACATACATACATGCATGCATGCATACATACCTACCTACCTACCTACCTACGTACATACATACATACATACATACATACACACATACTATATATATATATAGATTGATTGATTGAAGAAAACCAAAGAAACCTTGCAGAAAACGATGGAAAATTGAAGAAAACCATGGAACAATTGAAGAACACTATGGAAAAATTGAAGAAAACCATGGAAAACTTGCAGAAAACCATTGGAAAACCATGGAAAAATTGAAGAAAACCCGGGAAAAATTGAAGAAACCAATGGAAAAATTGAAGAACACCATGGAAAACTTGCAGAAAACAATGGAAAATTGAAGAAAACCATGGAAAATTGAAGAAAACCATGGAACAATTGAAGAAAACTATGGAAACATTGAAGAAAACCATGGAAAAATTGAAGAAAACCATGGAAAAATTGAAGAGGCACGAACCCCAAAAAAAATTCCAAAACTGTAAAAAAAAATAATACCAAAAACAATTCTGCACCCTTTGTAATCCAAATCCCGGATGCTCAAGCTCTCAATGTCACGATCCAAAGTTCGAAGTCCAGCCTGGTTTCTATTTCACGTTTTTCAGAGCTGGTGTTCCATCCAAAGTATGTTTAAGGCGGGGTGGTATCCCGACGTAAAACGTGGTTATATTCAATCCATGGTATTCCATGGGTGTTCTAACCACAACATATGCACCCCGAAGTCTATATTATATATATATATTATATTATATATATGTATATTTGTGTTGCTTAAGAATGGGGGATCCCTATTTCACCATACTTGCTGAAATACAATTTGACTATTTGACTTTGACAGTTTCTTTTTGGGGCCAAATCATCCAGATAATCCAACAAGCATCGCCTTGGTTTATAGCAACCATGTATAACCACAATTTTTGTTGGGACATACCATAACCCATTCAACTCTGGGCATGTGCATATGTATACAATATATATTTAGATGCATGTAGATGTTTATGTACGAATATATCCACTTGCAAAACCTATTTGGGTATTTCCTCAAATGGTGGTACCCCAAAGTGGATAATTCCGAAATACCTTTTCGTATTTTGCACGGCATTTTATACGATGTTTGAATCATCGTTTCGGGAGACCAATGCCAACATCTTTCAACATCTTTCAATGCCATAATGACACAACGTTACACACAAACCCCAAACAGCAGAAAAGTGAGGTTTTTCTGGTCATTGATACGGGGCGATATTTGTAAAATTTACCCTCTGGTAAACATACAAAAAACTATGGAAAATCACCATGCATTTTTCCTGGGTAAATCCACTATTTCTATGGCCATTTTCAATAGCTATTTTGACATAACCAGAGGGTATGATGGTTATCTCCAGGGTATCCACGGACCGTCCACGGATAGCACTACCAAAGCCTGCGCTCAGGTGGATTCTCACAGCTGGCGGTTGCGCGGCAGAGGATTGGTGAAAAAAAACCAGCTGTCGCTGTCTGGACCTGCAAATGGCTATAATGTCAACCCCGGATTTTGCTAAAGCATGGTTTATTAATTAGGGGGGTACTCAGTACTCCTCCAATAGTCATAATATGTATTAATATGTCATTTCATCTCATACTTTTATGGTATCCCCCCAATTAAACAGCCGTAAACGGGGTTTATTAATCCAGGGTTGACATTACCCATCAAGTAACAAATTTCATGGGATGATGATCAGCCGTGTAACAAAAAAGGGTAGCGCTTCAGGAACCATATCTCGGCTGTTTTGTGCCCAGATGTGTCTTCTCTCACATTGAGATGGTGGTTTGCAGCCAGGATTTTGGGGACTAATCCAGGTCCGAAAAATGGAAGGACTCGAGATATTTTTCAGCAAAACATGGTGGAAACCAAGAATTTCACATCAACTCATTCGTCTTGTCGCAGGAAGTTGGTCGTTTTGAATCCTTCTATGGTGCCGAGTGCGTTTCTGTTGTGTGTATTGATTCATACTGGGACAAGTGAAGTTCAACTGGCATTTCTGACTAACCATCTTCATCGCGATCACAATCAGCATTGATTATGATGATGCTCGCATTCATCAACATCATCATCATCATCATCATCTTCTTCTTTTTCGCCAGGTACTGATTCAACTATGAACGGTGACAGTGTTCGCCCCTGTTTAGAATATTTGGATATATTTGGGATCAACAAATTAAATATCAAGGATACCACTCTTTGTCAGATTTTACACTTTGTCACTATTGATTGTTGACCATGCAAAGTCACAAGTCATGTCTCCTTTTGAAGAATGCAAGATGTTTTACAAACTAAAGGTCCATCACGGTGTGCAAAGAAAATGGGTAAAGCCCATCAACATCATAGATGTCCTTTTCCCATTGGTTGGTTGATTAATAGATGGGTTTGAAGGTTCACCCCTTTAACAATCTTTAACAACAGGTTTGTTTGATGATAGATGGGATTAACCATCTCCCGGACTCCCGGCCCCTCTATTTTTATCAAAAGGACATTATTCTGGATAAATTATAACGACCTCACTGTTCTCCCTCACTATAATCATAGTCAGTAAGGGTTAGTGAAATCCCCAAATGGCCAGATAATCATATTCAGGTTAGTGAAATATGATAATTTACCCAGATATATCATGATTTTATAGAGGGTCATTTGGTTATTTAACATAGCCATGGAAAATGGCCCATTTATAGATGATTTTCCCATTAAAACCTCCATTTATGAGGGATTTTCCATGGCTATGTTAAATAACTAGAGGGTAAAATAGCCTCAACATGGTTATCCCAAAGATCAACATAAGGTAACCAGACACTCAATCCCCAGATTTGGACAGCTCGTAAACGTAAAAACAAAAAACAATTTGTGGAAAGATCCACCATGGTGATTTCATAAAAAAAACTCACTATACTCACTATTTAACTATGGTCATTTTCAATTTAGCAATGTTTGTATTGTTTTTACCAGATGGTAATACGGGATGATTCAAAAACTACACCTGGTGACCTAGTCGTCTTGGCTTGACGGCTTGACCCATCCCGATTAGAAATGCAAAAACACAACTGGATGATCATAAGGACTATCATAAGGGCTTTCTCATAATCATTATACATCATTATCGTAGATTATATCATGGATATTCATTGATTATCATTATTCATAGATTATATCATGGATATTCATGGATATATCCATTATGATCATAAGTTATATACCCGTCACATTTTTTGGATTTCTCCCCCTGAAAAATTCGGCAACCTACCGGGTGCAACCCAGGCGATGCTTCTCGTAAAGAGCCGCCATGCGGATCCGCTTCTCGTGGGCTTTTCCTTGACCCTTGGTGGCTGCGGTGAAGTCGATGCCATCTTTCAGTTGAAAAATGGGTGGTTTAACATGGTCTAAGCATCAAACATGGTGGCTTAGTGGGTATAAAAATATATATCATGGCCGTCTGGTTGGTGGTTTCAAACATTTTTTATTTTCCATTTCATATATGGGATGTCATCCTTCCCATTGACGAACTCAATATTTTTCAAGATGGGTTATTGCACCACCAACCAGATATTTTTTTGATGCTAAAATATCCCCATTATTAACCATCATTAACCATCATTAACCATATATTAACCATATTTCTAGCCTACTTGATGGCATAGCTGGGGGTTATTCTATCGCTAAAACCCATGGTGTTCAGCTCCATAGGATTTTGAGATTGAGATGGGGAAAAGGGGTGCCTATAACTATAGTGATATACCCGGCCTGGTAAACATACAAAAACTATGGAAAATCACCATTTTCTAGCTGGGTAAATCCACTATTTCAATGGCAATTTTCAAGTTCACAAACTGTTAGTTTACTATAGTGGTATATCCACTTACAACTGGAACTGCTGTAGGCAGGATTATCGCCAAATATGTTCATTTCTCATGTGGGAACTGTAGATAATTTTGCAGATTGTCGGGTTTACTGTTGGGTTAAGCGCATTGCCGACAATAAAGGGATTTGAAACGTCAATTTACAGATGCTTTTCCTACATGGTGTTTCTCTAAATTGGGGACCCACAAACACCATGGGATTCCCAGTTCTAGGACTGCCCCCAATGATAGGTGGGGGAGAATTTCAACTGAGAAACTAGTGAGAATTACTAGTGAATTTACTAGTTGAAATGAATCAATATTTTTGGGATATGAATTACTGAGACTGGAACTGGTGTAACCCCCTTCGGCAAGAAGCACTGTTTGTGTCAAAAAGAGCAATGCGTACTCCTAACAGATTGGTTTCTAAAAGAGCAGACCGCCACATAGTGGATGTTGGCAAGCTTTCAAGTTTCGGATTTGCGAACGTCAAAGGTTATCCCAAAAAGGTTTCAAGCGATCATGTGGAGCCATACCAAGTAACATAATGTGGGCCAAGGGTGTTTCTTAAAATCGGGTTCCCAAAATTACACCAGCAAGAGACCCCAAACAGTGTGGGGGGTAGGAAGTCAATGCTTTAAATACAAGCAACTCGATGTGTAGGACCTCATACCAGAACTTCGTACCAGGACATCGAAGATAATTTCACAAGATTGTCAAAGAATGACTGAATGATCTTCTATATGGAGGATATCACAAGATCTTCATACAAGAACTTCCAGCATCCCAAAAGAACTTCCATACAAGCAGCTCTAGTGCAGAGCATCAAGATCTTAATGCAAGGACCTTTTATGCAAGGACCTTTTAAGGAGGATTTCAGCAGGATCTCCACAGGACCTCTTAGAGGATTTTATCAGGAAAAACGCTGCAAACCAAATGGCATACCTTGATCTAAGCCCGGCCTTAACACCCACCATAACAACCCCTTTGGGTAGACACTGTTTAGGGAATCATTGGTTTCTTTACGAATTCGACACACAAATAAAATTTTGGATGATATTTGGGGTCCCCCATGGCTCAAGAAATTCCCGCATGGTGATGGAGTGGTGTGTTTATAGCAGTATTTCATCTCTGTCACCCAGGAGTGGTGACTCGCTGAACAGTTTTCCTCTTTTTAGGTAGCCAGATTTAAGCAAGATGATGGATTGGACGAATGACCTCGGATCAAGCAGTTTATTGTGGAAACACCTGACATTTTAGGTACACCTCACTTAGATACTTCATGCGCCCAGTCCCCATAGCTATGGAATCGGAAAGTGCGTGCAGTTTTTGCCCTGAGATCAACACATCCCATGTTTCCTTCGTTTCCCAAAGACTTTCCATATGTTCCACTAACATTTGTACCATGTCCCATTGCAGGTGAATATGTCCCCGACGTTTCCAGTTTGGTGCTGTCAGGACCACGTGTTCTCTCTTTGCAGTGGACACTTGGCACCTGCAACTCACCGTGTGCGTGCTGGGCCTTTTGGGTACCGTGCGCGGCGTGCGCGGCGTGCGCGGCGTGCGCGCACGGAACCAATGGATGCCCCCGCCGGCGGAGCGGCACGCCGTGCAGCTCCCGACGCCCGTGGTGCCCGTGGTGCCCGTGGGGCTGGCAGCGACGCGCCAGGGGGCCCCTGGGGGCCGAGTGTTGTTGGGGGCAGTGTCGCCCATGGCTCAAGTCAAGGGTAGCACGGCGGAAAATTCGTGGAAATGTGGGGAACACGGGGAACACGGACTTCGATGGAATTGGAGATGCCAAAGACAGAAGTAAACCCTCTGAAATGGCGGTAAGTTAGCTATATCCTTTGGAGTTTCCGGAATTGAAACTATATTCCACGAACCATAGGCAGATGATTTGTGTAGGTTTGACATAGTTCGGTGATGTCAGCCTCCAGCCTTGACGATTGGAAGTCAGCGATAAAACAACAACATGGTGGCTGCAGACAGGTCAACATCTCATTAGAAAAATGTAAATGTCATTAGGTGCATCAGTAATCAGGTTATCTTTCCTGTTCTTATTCTACTATATTCTACTCATACTTTCCCAATCTTTCCCATGTTTACCGGCCGATGAAGCCACAAACGAAAGTGCGAATGCAAGTCTATTTGGTGGAAATGTGTAGTGGCTACATTCCAAGTGTCGACGACGGCGTTCTTTGCAGTTGTGGGTGTCATGAATATTTATGTAAAACATTCGTTTGAAGAACCAAGACCAATTTCGTGATTCAATTCATATGCCCAATTCTCCTTTTTGGCAAATTCCCAACTGCCAACCTCAACTATAGGAACGTTTTCACCATCATTTCTTATGTAATTCAGAAACATTGGCTGGTTGCCTGGGGGTTCACCCTAAGCAAGTGAAAACTTTCTGTTGAGATGTTGAGCGGCTAGCCAAACAACCTAGGCTTCATCATTGCCAAGGTTGACAGTTGTTCACTAGTGTTGTTATTTACCATCTACCAGTGAACAACATTGAACAACTCTACAATTCAGGAACCAACATTGGTCCGGTGGTTCCACACATGGTCATTTTGGCACCCGATGACCAATATTGGATGAATTTGAAACAGGTACCCGGGTACTCCCCTCATCCAACAAATCTATAACCATAAAAGGATTGAAAACTGTTTCACCCGGATTTGGGAATATTTTGAAGGCATATTAATGGCCATTAATTAATGTAATTCCATCTATATATAGAATAATCCCAATATGGTATAATATGGTAACATATTCTACAATGTGAGGCCCCCCAAACGTGATGTGAACGTTGGTTGAGTTATTCGCCCCAGTAGATACTGTAGTTATTTGCCGACCATAAACCATAGTGAAATTGGAGTTATGTGAACCCCAACTTAGATATCGAACGGGGGCCTCACATTGTAGCTTCACAGGATCCTTGGGGGTTCTCTAAGATCTGTCAACCTGACTTTCCCTTTCGCTGAGGCAAACACTTGAGCCCCATCCCTGAGTTCATGCCCACCTCCCCTGCGACCACGGCGGGCACGGACAGCAACGAAACCAACGAAACCAACGAAATGGACGCGGACAGCGCGGACATGGAGACATTTCCAGAGCCTGATGTGGAGACGCTGGAAGGAGATGTTCAAGCCACATTAAAGATGGTGTCTTGGCGAAAGTTTGATTTTCTACCCCAAAACATGGCTAAACTGGCTAAACCCATGAAAAAAAATGTGGGGTAACAGTTCGAACTTTTTGGAGGCTACTTGGAGGAACAAGCTTGACGAAAGGTTTTTTGCTTTCCAGAGCCAGGTGAGTTTGTGAATCATCCCCGAGATCCTTGGGATTGTCTAGACTATGCAGATCAAATTTGGGGGAATGATCCCAGTCATCACTAGTAATAATCAACCCAGCCACCCCCAGCAACCCCCAGCAACCCATCCATTCCCTACGTTTAGCACCAGTAAGATTTGCCTTGTTCACAAAAACTTGATGGGTGGCATCCCATCTTTTTCCGTTGACATCAACTTTCTCCAAAGAAGCGCTCCAAGTTAGGTTTGGATAGAACCCAAATTCTGATGCTATCCCCATGAAATCACCATTTTGATGTTTTTTTTCACCAACGAATCCCATGAAAAATCACTATTTTTGCTGGCAGTTTCCCATTTTTCCCATGAAAAACTGGGGATTTTTCAAGGCTGGAAAGAGGTGGTCGGTACAGAAGCTCAGCATCTCGGCTCAGCCATGGTAATTCGCTTCAGGGGATTTCAGGGGATTTCATGTGGGAAATGAGTAAATTATCCCATTGAATCCCCCCAAAAAATCCCAATTCGAATGGGGATTTAATGATGATTGAATGATGAGCAACATGGTGATCCGATGGCTTTTTTAATGGGGATTGAATGGGATTGGGATTCGAGGCTATTGAATGCTCTTGTGGAAAATTCATGGAATGGGGTGATATATATAGAAAAAAAATATATGTATATAAATAATGGGATTTAGTGGGAGACCATCAAAATGGTCATATACTGGGGATAGAATGGGAATTCATGTCAGAAACCCAATGCCATACACCTACCATTTGGGATGAACTTTATCCCATAGAATTTGTCTTGACTTGGGGATTGTTTATTAGTGCGTTTACCACATTAGTAATATTTCTGTTTCAAAAACACAACAATAATGATACAGGATGGCGCCCCAGTTCGTTAGCTAAGTTGGTGCAAATAACTATAATAACCATGTCGTGTATATTTGGATGGGGCCCCATCAACATTCACATAACTGGAGGGCCCCATCCAGGGAGATTTCGGATGAATTCGGATAAACAAATCGGCCACTGTTCCATGGTTTACGCTATTGGGATGGCTTCACCATGGGGATAGCTTCACCCAATTCACAGTCCCGAAACATGGATGGATTCACTTGGGGATGGCCTTCGAAAAAAATTGGGGGATTTTAACCTGGAATTTTCCGCCCGGAGAAAACCGGGCTTTCCAGCCGCCCGGTTTCATATTTTCATCGCGTATGATTTGACCCGTGTTAGGAGATTCATTTCTTTTTGACCGTCCGAATTTGAGGCACTTTTTTTTTGACTACCGCAAAAAAATCCTTGTGCGGGAGGACAATCGTGTCCATGAACCTTCTACTAGTTAAGGAGGTCAGCCAAGCAGCCAAGCAATGCGCTTGTTTTGAAATGGAAAGTCCAAAGGCTGAGTGATAGGATTTTGGAGTTCCATATGTTAACACACACATAAACTAACATAACTATGGAAAATCACCATTTTTAATGGGAAAACTCACTATTTCTATGGCCATTTTCAATAGCAAACTGTAACAAATTACCATATGTTAACACACACACACACATCTATGAGAAGCCATAGCAACTTGCTGGATCCAGACTTAATCAGTACCGCAACTGGTGGCTAAACTGGGATTCCTGTGGGTGAAACTTTGTGTCAGCTGATTCTGAAAATGGTGTGAAACAGCAGATATGACCCAACATTAATTTGATAATTATATATTACCCTTTGGTTATGCAAATCGCAGCGAATTGGGACATCACCATGCTATTAATAGGTAAATCATCGGATGTTTATCATCTATTTCTTTTTGGGCCATTTTCCATAGTTAAATAACCAGAGGGTATTTGATATCGTAATGTACATTATGCTACTTGTATATCATAATATCCCTCCTGCGGTTGATATTGTCATGTCCTGGTGAAACTAAGGCCATCTATGCCGTGGTGATGGAATATCCACAGTTATATTCCATTTGATATCTTTTTCTAAATTCACCCACCCCGCATTTATCAATAGTAATATATCAGAATATATCTATCTTTGATATATATATATTATTATATATATATCATTATCTATCTATATTTATCCCCCATGGAAATCAATAGATCATCATATATCTATCACAATATTTCACCATATATATTTGGTCCAAGCACTAAGGCCATCAACAGGCCACTCACATCTTGGTGGCTTGTCACGTCTTATCTTCGCAGCGTCGCCTGTGGGGCCGAAAACCCGATGCCACGTGGGGTTGTTTCCTCGAGACTCTGCGCCGCGGGCGGAAAAACCCAGTGACACCAAAGCTCTGGGTGGAAACCAGCCGGTGGTGCGCAGCGCATGAGACCAAAGAGACTTGGCAAGTTTGATCATTTTTGGAGAACTTGGGGATGAAATTCGAGTGGTGATTTTTAGATGGTATCAATATGTGTTGAACATGGTTATTATATGTTTTTTAAAATACTGATTGACTTGCGGGAATCATGTAGAAGGGAACATTTGGTTTCATTTTCTCAGTCCACTATCATAGGTAAGTGGTTTTGCATGATTTTAAAGCAATTGTTTAGAATTCTTTGAGGACCCTAGGGAAGCATATTTATAATATATATATATATATATATATATATGTAGAGATGGTTTCAGTCGGGTGATCCAATTCAAGATGGGGATAGCAAGAAATTTGATGGAACATCTGACGTTTGCGATAGTGCCAATCTGCAATTTCTTCTCAGATACCCTCCGGTAAACTAACATAGTTGTTGAACATCACCATTTTTAGTGGGTAAATCCACTATAAATGACCATTTTCAATAGCTATGTAACAAATTACCAGAGAGTATTTGGATTCTGAACCAAGCAGATGATCTATGGAAGCTCATGTTTTTTTTTTGCGAACAACCAGAGTTCAACACTTGACGAACCACGCCCAGGAACTTCGCTCAATTCTGAAGGCATCTCGGCATGTCCAATGTTCATCAACGGATATGTGAGGGCAGAACATCACCAGCTCGTTGTTGATGTTCTCACTATCATATTGTGTTCATTATAACTAGAATCATAGTGATAACCATCAGATAGTGATAATAATCACCAATTCATATTATCAACCAGCGGTGATGATTCATATTATGATTTTGGTCATTATCGCCATTGCACCTGTCGTAGTCCTCCTCAGGATCATCCTCATCCTCATGCTCTTCCTCCGCCTCCTCCGCCTCATCCGCCTCATCATCGTCATCATCATCATCATCATCATCACATTGTCATCAAGATGAAATTGAATGGGAATATCACCCCAGACTTCTTGATTGGGAATGGCTCAAATTCTGTAGGAAGCAAGGCAATATTGAAGGAAGGAGGTGGCAGCAGAAGACGGAATTTATTGCTAAAATCTAGAAACCATCACCTGGCTGGTGGGGAAATAGGAAAGAGCATAGGGGAGAAAGTAGGGAAGAATAGGGGAGATATTGGGGAAGAAAATGGGTAGAAATTAGGGGAGAAGAAGGGGGAACAAATAGGGGAGAGAAAGAAAAAAGGGAGAACATGGGTGCTGGAAACAGAATGTATGTGAGCATGGATCATGATTTAAATCTGCTGAAATCAAGGTATTGTCGTGGGAAAGAATAGCAAAACATACTAAATGTCTTTTAAACCTCAGCAAAGGTTGTTCGCTGTTTCTTGCACCAAATCTTCTTCCCAAGCATTTAAAAAAATGAAATTGTAAAGTCCAATGCGCGCGCCACGTCTACGTCAAGTTTTTCCTAGACAACCTCACCCCCGTTCATATTTTGGCGCTGGTATTTTTTAAAGAAATCCTTTTGAAGCTTGCTTCAAAATCATATTGTTTTTGGTTTTGGTGCGGAGAATTGGATTTTGGAGCAGCAATTTCTTATGCCATACTGCGTAATTCCTGGGTGTTTTGCAACTCAATGCTTGAAACTACGCGAACATGCGGTTGATTCAACCACCAGCAAAGTTGTGCATTCTACATAATACATTTTTTTGTTGCTGAATTCACATCTTTGTTGCTTCAAAAGCCCAGTTTGGTGCTGTCTGAGTTGGTGATTTCTGCTATGTAAAATTTCGGGTGGGAAATCACCGTGGTTCACAACTTGTTTTCTTTTTGAGACCTGGGAAAAACCACAGAAAAACAACATCTCGTGGAAATTTTCATCTGGGAAGTCATGGACATATAAAAAAATGCGTTGCCCTTGGCATCATTTCATATCATTTCATCATTTCTTGATAATGTAAATCACAGTCATATTTATGCTCAAAAACGGTGTGACCCAATGATGTATTGGACTCTTGGAAGGTACTTGCATAAATTCCCAGCTCAATATATCAGTAACATGTTGCGTGAAACAATACCTGTCATGGAATTTGCTATTAAGAAAAATGCAATTGATATATATATATACATAATATAATGTACACAATAGTACACATCAATGATACTATCAATTATACTAACAATTCTTGATGGATAATTATAATGATATATGATACAGGTATATATATGTATATAATATACTAACAATTTTTATGTGTCGTACTTGCGTTGGTGACAGTAGTGTCAGGCCATTAGAGGCAGGACCTGAAAGCGAGCTTGGGTTGGCACAAAGGGGTCCCGAAGGGTGGCTTTTATGCGTGGCAAGTAGTTTACATAGATCATATCCAAAATCAAGCCGTTCAAAGCTTTAAACCACTTTCCAACAAATGCTTTAAACTTTGAATCTAGGTAAACTTTACTGCATGGAAAAGAAACACAGAAAGAAGACAAACACCTCAAAAGCAAACACTGCGACTATAATATGTG